GGCCTCGGGCTTGGAGGTGCTGATTCTCATCCCAGTTGTGTCACACTCTGCAGCAAACCGCCCCAGTTCATGCTGAATGTCCATGTTTGAAGAAGCCAACAGAACGACATTATCTGTGAATAACAGAGATGAAATCCTGGGGTCCCCGAACCAGACCCTCTACAGCCCAAGACTACGCTTTGAAATACGGTCCATAAAAATTATGAACAGAATTGGTGACAAAGGGCAGTCCTGCCGGAGCCCAACATGCGCTGGAAACAAGTTTCACTTATTGCCGGCAATGCGAACCAAACATCTACTCTGTTCATACAGGGACGAGACAGCCCTTAAAGCGCCTCTGACCCCACACTCCCACAGCACCCTCCACAGAATGCCATGAGGGACATGGTCAAAAGATGTTATTTAGGTTTATATTCTAACTAGGTTTCAATTTAATCTAATCTAATAAGCCAAAATCATCTAATAGCAATACCATCTTCGCGTCATAATTTGCACTACAGTGTTTGAGGGAGGAGAGTTCGAGTTTTTGCGGGTCTACATGCCTATCAAATGTTTTGTTCAGATGTCACAATAAAACGCCTAAAGATCCACTTGGATCATTATATCAATGACTCTTGGTTGACTTTCTTTTTGAGAGCCATGATCTTTATACATGGTGCACTTTTAGATTTAAAACTCAGCAGGACGTTTTCATCTACTTAGAGTTGTTACAGACTATATAAAAGGTAATGTTCATCCAATCCATAAAAGGAGCACTTTAACATTCTTTTTGAATATTTACAAGATTAACAAGTTAATGGACCAGCACAGTAGACAAAAAAAAATGACCTGTGGTAAAACCTATAACCCCAATCCATGTCCTACTATCAAAGTCCTTGTTATGTAATCAGGAGGGTCTGTGGACGTGCAGTGAATTTGTTGTGTCTGTATGGAAAGTGAACACACAAGAATGAAGCAGCAGACCAAGTGGCGAATTTGTCCATCTGAGGCCAACTTATATTTGACCAAAGCTGTAAATCTTAGGAATATTTAAGAATCTCTACAAAGTAAAGTACAAAAGGATTTTGAATACAGCTTAAGCACATTTCCCATGCCATCAGCTGTTGACATAAGATGCTAAAGGCTTTGCACAGACAGAGGTCAGCAGATGAATGGTGCTCTCCAGGCTCATAATTACAGCAGCAAAAGTGATAATCAACCACATCTCAAAGGCCAGAAATAACAACCTATTACCGTGCTACTCGGGCATATTTTTATCCAGCCAAAACATCCTGATTCTACTCAACTGAAAATAGTACACAATATTATAATTATTTGTTTATATTAGAGCACTTTCTTGTACTGAAAGTAGTTTGTTTTCAGCATGATTATTCATATAGTTCTTAACAGCCATCTTGTTGATTATGCAGGACTGGCGGTGATAACATTTTTGGAAAAATTACAATGGCTGAGGTACACATTACACTGCAGTTTTGAAGTGAAACTATTATTGGCTTTAAAAAATACACCATTTACTAATTTGATGCAACGCAGCACCACAACACATGGTAAGTTTTTTTTTTTTACTATTATTATTAAAAATAGTTTTTGTCCTAACCACCTGCTATGGCAAAATGCAAAATTTCTATTTCTAAAACTTTTATTTTAGTTTCTATGCTGACAACGTTTTGGCAAAACAACAGCATAAATTACAAGGACATTAATCACCTCAGGTAAATATTATGTGTTTTATTCGGTGTTGAATGCTGTTTATGATTTGATAAATGGTAAAGTGACAGTTATTGCCATACTGCAAATTCTTAAATCAAGAAGCATTTTATAGACAAGCAAAAAATATTTTCTAGTTTTCAGAAATGTGTCAAATTTAAATGAGCATTTCCAAGCAAAATAATCAGCAAATGTGCAGTTTAGACATACATTTTTTGACAAGGTCAGTCTTCTCAGTTAAAGCCAGTCATTTCTGGAGCACACTACCTACTGATTTAAGGGGTATTACAAATTATTCAACATTTAAATACAAGTTAAAGAAATGGCTAAAAGCAAATCAAGTTAGTAATCATGTTTCATTCTTTTCCCTAGCTTTTTATGAAATTGGTATGTTTGGTCTTTTTGATGCATTTAACTTTACTGTTATTGTTTGTGTAATATGTTGTTTTTTAATTTTATTTTTTTTGCCCTTATAAAATCTGGCAGGGAGCAACAAATGAAAATTAGCCCTTGTGGCCAATTCTGGCTAATACATAGTTTGACTGTTAATTAATGATTACTGTGCCTGTTAAATAAAACAAAAAAAAACTAAAATTTTAGATAGAAGTAAAAGATATTTTTGCTTTACCTATTAGTGGATTATTTTGCTTGTTTTAAAGAAAATAAGAATATTTTTTGCTTGCCTAGAAAATGCTTCTTGATTTAAGAATTACTTTTATATTTGAACTAGAAACAAGACACAAACTCTTAATAAGAAAAACATATTGCCATGGGGTGTTAATAGATTTCATGGAATCGATTAATCAGGGTTCCCACACTTTCATAAACAGCAGATTAAAGCACCATTTTTAAATCATCAAAAGCACCACTCAGATTTTAAAGCAACAAAGATTTTAAAATCAAGCACCTTTGCAATTCATACCCCCAGCATATGTAGCGCCATGAAAGTCCTTACGGTACTTAAAGGTTCAAGAAACCGGTTTACTTTTTTTTTTTTTTAGATTTTTAACAGATTTGTGTGTTGAGCATCAGTTAAGACAATGTTAGCACCTGTCAGCTTTAATAGTGGGGAAAACTGGATAATTTCGAGTTTTTGTCTGCTAAATTCATGTTCCGGATTTAAAATGATTTTTGGGACGGGATCAAAATCAGTGACGTAATGCACAACTGCAAGTGCAAAGATGGCTTGTTGGTTTCTCATTATTCATAGCGGAGTTTTCTTATCCTATGAGAAGAGCCTGCTTCTTAATTATTCATGACAGCACAGGCTTTCCGGAGGCAAGAGAGACCCGCCAGTACCAAGTTGTGAGATCCTATGTTGATGACTGGGTGAGACCGCGTCCACGGACCCACAGCATGCAGTATTTAGCCGTTCATGAAGGGTCAGGTATGTGTTTGTTTCCATGATGCATGGGTTTGTTGCATGTTATTCCCCGCGATCCTGTCAGGGCCGATACACTAAAGGTGTTTGTATGCAGTAAGCATTTTCGTTGAGAAAGCAGTACGAGTATGGCGGACTTTGTCCTTTATCAGTGGAGTTCACCACTTTAGACATATCGCCGTGCTGCTGTATTCGCCCGAAATTTTCAAATCACCAGCAAGGCTAATGATTGAAATAGGTAGGGCAAGAGACCAGCTGCACTGAGTCTGCATTCAAACCCGGAGATTGAGGATGTCCTCCTCATTTATAGTGTCTACATGAACACCATTGTCTTTATAATGATATATATTGTAGTTCGTATATGAAATAACAAATGTAGCATGGCATTATATTACTGTTTATTTCGTTGCGTTTTAATTTTGTAAACTATAAAATCATGCATCTTCTCTCAGTATGTCTCTCATTTTGTGAGCCGACTGACAACAGTTGTTCGCTCCCCTCCTTCTCCCCTGCTCTGCTGGCCACACCCACTACTGCCTCTCATCGCGGAGCTCCACTCCCATTATGATGCATTTTTTGAAAAAATTCTGAGGTAGACTTAAACCGAAAGTGGGGGGTGTCATGGCCTTTAACATTAAACTTGCACTTAATATTTACATTAAAGAGTAAATTACAATCATTTTGATCGTTTTAAAAAGTTGCATTCAAATAACTTTAATAAAAATGCGTTGAATTTACTACTGAATTCACTACACTACTTGTCAACGTAATTATACATGATTTAAAATTAAGATTTTTAATTTAGGACCTATTTTTTGGTTCTGTTTTTGATGATTGAGTACAATATTTGAAATTAAACCATGAACAAATTTAATTTAAAATTTAATTCAAGCACATTCTAGGACCTGCATTTGTTTTTAAGTACTTCGTGGCCCTTTCGGGCCACGAAACCAGGCCTTGAATCCATATATCTGAAATTCAAGTACTTTCAAGAAGCGTGGGAACCCTGATTAATATTACTGGAAATGTTTTATTAAATTGGTTCATGCACATAGCAGTTCAGAAATGAAATGGCCAATGAGGAGAACAGTAAAATCTATACAGTTCGTGAAAACCTTCGAAAAAATGCCATTTTTTTTTAGTCACTTTACTAGTCCATTAATTTATTTTCCTTTGGCTTAGTCCCTTTATTAATTAGGGGTCGCCACAGCAGAATAAACCACCAACTTATCTAGCATGTTTTACACAACGGATGCCCTTCCAGCTGCAACCCAGTAACATCCATGCATTATCATTCACACATACACTATGGCCAATTTAGTTTATTCAAGTAACCTAGACCACATGCCTTTGGACTGTGAGGGAAAACTAAGCATCCGGAGGAAACCCATCATCAAACTACATTAGTACATAAAACTAACTAAATTAAATAATAAATTTTGCGTTGGCTAAGTTTAAGTTGTTATTTCTTTTTATGTTTCTTATGTTTTATTTTGGTTTTAATGATGCATTAATGATTTTTGTCATGATAAACCCATGACAAAGGCAGCACTGTTTCTGCATTTTTCACATCCCTATTTTTAAGCCAACAACTACGGTCAGAAACATTTTCCTGTCTTAACCACTTTTGGCTTTCTGGAAAAATACTGAAGGCAAACAACCAAGTACTAGCAAGCAGATAAATTATTTACAGCACATCTAATCAGTTACCGCTCTCAAAGAATTTAGGACATATCATACTTAATGACTTCAAACAGTATTATCAAAGTGTCCAAACAGTTACTACCAGTAAGCAGTAATGATTTCCAATTCCTCTCACCAATGAGGTTTTCTTTGATTCATGGCTAATAAACAATGTAAACCTAAAAGTTATGGACATTGTGTTTGCCATGCTGTGGGCCACGAAACCTACCTCGAGATAGAGTGAAGAGCTGGAGCCATGGCTCATTCTTTGGGCAAGAGCATCTCTCTGAAGAACACACTCCTCCAGGTGGATGACGTTGGGATGCTGGCTCTGGATGCTGCTCAGGGCCCAGAATTCCCTCAAGGCCAGCTCTACGTTCTCTGGGGAGTGACAGCGGATCTTCTTCACAGCCACGCGAGCACCCGTTTGCCGTACAACCGCCTCATACACCACACCGTAACTGCCCCGGCCTACCTCCTGGATCAGCTCGTACTTGGCCTGACTGCTCACCATCCTCTTCTTCCTCACCTGCCATGACACACAACACAATAACTGGGGCTGTCACAATATCACACTTTTTATTACAACCTGTGGCCAGAGGAATTCCCAGTATACATGCAGTGACCAACATAAATTCTCCCCTTTTTAAATGTATTTTCTTATTCATTTCTCTGGAAATATTGGTGGATTTAAACAAAAATCAGAATAATTAACATTGCACGTCGTACAAACAACAAATTATAAAAGTTGTCTCTGGAAGTTAACAAGACTTATATTATTCATTACATTGCCAATTTATTGTATTTTATTAATGCACCCCTACCCCAACCATTACAGTAATGTAAAAACAGTAATTGTACTGAGTATTCTTATATTATTTCATTAAATTACCCCAAAAAAATAAAGTTTATTAATGTCTACCCCCACCCAACCATCACATTACTATAAAAATATGAATTATTGTAATTAGGGATGCAATGATTATTAATTTTGGTTGTACAATTAGTAAGAATTAGTAAGAAATGGTCACGGTTTCACGGTTATCACAATTATTTGCATTCAATGATTTTAAAAACCCACTAGTTTAAAACTAGTTTAAAATGGTTTTAAATTTAGTTTTGTAGTTCGGGTTGAACTAAATATTTGTTGCTGTTTTAATAGTTCAAGTTTATTTGAGTGAATATAGAACAGTCAGTGGATATTATTAATGCATTTATTTCATGCGTTTTTGGTCATTATCAATGCACCAGCAAAAGTTGACCCAGCGACAAAACTATCGCGTCAAGGCTGCTTCAATGAAGCTCACGCCTCATGCTAATGCACTGTTTCCGTGTGTAGCATGAAAGCTCTAATCTGTTAACATGGATGCCAAAAAAAACACATTCTGCTCATGCGTATGGTGTGAAACAGGCTCGAGTCTTTCAGCAATTTCTCCGAAAACACTTGATTAGTCTCAGCTGGCATTCTCCACATGATCACTCTCATCAGCGCCATTATTTGTAACTTTAAGTGGGTTTGCAAACCTGTGTACCTTCCATTGCATCTTCCTCAAACCGTTAGCTGTTAGCAATTCCCACGGTCACTAAAGCCCCAGTTTTGTTCCATGCAGAATAGCGATGTTGAGAATCCTTTGTGATTAATTAACCGTGATAAATTAAATCAAGTTTAATAGTGAAACCGGTTAATTGCTGCATCCCTAATTGGTATACAGTGTTACAAAAAATATGCTATATTGTTGTGCTGTATCATTGTATAATTGTAGATAGGACAGCTGTATCATATCTACAATTTAGTACATGCGCAGTAATGCACAAAATTTCTTTTTTAGAAATTTTGCTCTATTTCTGCAACGTTGCAGCAGAACAACAGCATAAACTAGTATAACAACAATCACCTCAGGTACTGATAATGGGGTTTATTCAGTGTTAAATGCTACCAGTTAGAGCTGCACAATTCTGGCTAAAATGAATCATAATTTTTATTGCTTAAAATAAAGATCACGATTTTTTCATGATTCTGTAGATGTAAAATAAAAGTTAAAATAAGTGGGCTATTATTTTTGTTATTTCTCAAACATATGTAAAAAACTACATTAATATTATATGTAGGTCTACTGTTTATTCTCATGCTCAACACTGTGTTTGCTAGAAAGAAAAAAGCATGTCAAATGCTTGTAGCCTAATCATAACTCTATAATGCCATATAATTATTTAAATGTTGTGCATGCTTTCGGTTTCATTTTCACTGCTAATGCGGTTCATACTTCCTGCACGGCTCTCAAACAATCACTCTGTTCCACAAACTGAACGTTATTTACAAACTTAATACCTATTATTCACAGCCTATGCATGTTCTGTTCACTAAAGTAGACGTCATTCACAGACGAGCACCCACCCTCTCTGTGGTAACGGCTCACGGTCAGCAACTCGCGTCACGCATGATATCACGGCCACGAATACATCATTACATGAAGACAGAAATGGCATTTTTGGGTGAATTATACCTTATAAATACAGAATGTGACTCTTTCAACAACATTTCAACACTTAGACCTGGTGTCCATGTTGCTGAACAATGCATGTAAAACAATGTGAAGACTTGCGGCTGCCTTTTCTTCTCTCTGAACTTGAAAATATGATTGGCAGAATCATAGAAATGCTGGATTAAGATAGGTCAGGGCGTTGAATCAAAATCACAAGCTTTTTTCAATTAATTGTGCAGCTCTACTACCAACGTGAGTTCAAATACCATTTTACATGACATTTATTGCCATTCCACTGAAAAAAGCAGTAGTTCATCACAGATTTTGAAAATTAAATAATTAGGAGACGGTTTAAAAAGGAGTCAGAACTGTGCAAACCAACAACATCAGTCACCTAGTAGCCTATAAATAATGTTAAAGGTGTTTATCAGTAGGGCTGGGCGATATGGCAAAAAAAAAAAAAAAAAAACTATTTTTTTTAATTGTGTAACTAGTCAACTTAAAACATTACAACAACATGACTAAAGTAACATTCTCCTTATAAGCAACTAAAAAAAAAAAAAAACATCTGGTTAAGATGTAAGTATTTTTAATGACCATGCCATACATAAATTGGTCAACAAGGTGTAAATAAATGCAAAACAAATTTGGTGTTAAATATCGTAGCAGATATTTGAATAAACAATATTTGTGTAAATATTGCAGTTGCAGGAATACAGAGGTCTTTTTTTTTTTTGCAAGTTTTGCTGAGCCTAGGAAAGATTGGCTGTCAGCTCGGCTTTCACTTTATCTTCTTATTGAGTTGTAATGCTGCTACATAGTGGATACAGTGGAAGTAAAGGAACATGGAAACTGTAAAGCCTAATTTAACCCAGTGTGTGAAGTTGTGGACATTTAGCGGGAGCAAATAAAAGCACCAGATGTGTGTCTAATATAAAATAATATATTTAATCTATTTTTCTTTTTCCTCCCTTTTAAATACAGATCATTTGATGCGCTTTGCACTACTCTCTGTAATATGCCGCCTGATCTGTCTGGTTTTCAACTAGCTCCGCTAAATGACGTCATGGGGGCAGATACTTTCATTTTCATTGCTACAGCTGCTGCTCACCTCTGCTTTGTGTTCAAACCAAAATATCAGCGTGGTTCGAACTAAGATCGGTGTGGTTTTTCTCATGGCAGGTTTTTACGTCCTTCATACATGTGTAGATCGAGTTTATCGACTTGATGAGGGAATATGTCTTGACAATCCAGACGTGACTCAGACTAATGCACAAGTAAAATCCTACATGACTTCACGCTTTAACAGACAGTCAAGCAGGTCGCACACCAGAAAATCCGCGACACGGCGCGCACATGAAAGCTTAAAGTATCACATACAAGACGTGCGCATTCGCATGATATTTAACATGAAACAGATGGCGCTCTGTGGCGCGGCTGAAATATGAACTGCATCCTGAATCATCACATATGCAGATTTATAGAAACCCGTTTAGAACGAGTGGCGCTTTTGGTGTGCGACCTGCTTTATACAGAGGGTGAACCAAAGTGCATTGGTGCCATTATGATGTATCAAATTTTTTATTATTATTTTTTTTTAAATCGCGTTTTTTCGATTTAAGATAAAATTAAATCGTCGTCAAAGTGTAAATTTGAATTAATCGTATTCAGTGTTAAATGCTACCAGTGTGAGTTTCAATACCATTTTACAAGACATTTATTGCCATTCCACTGAAAGAACCAGAAGATAGTTCATTACAGATTTTGCAACTGCTTGTTTTTGGAATCTTGTCACATAAATTTTAGATCATTTATGACGTTCTGGATTTTACCATATCTGATGGCAATGCACAAAATTTCTATTTTAGAAATGCTATCAATTTCCGCAACGTCGCAGCAGAACAGCATAAACTAGTATGACAATGATCACCTCAGGTACCGACTATGGGCTTTGTTCAGTGTTAAATGCTACCAGTGCGAGTTTAAATACCATTTTACAAGACATTCATTGCCATTCCACTGAAAAAGCAGAAGATTGATCATAACAGATTTTGAATATAAAACAACTAGCAGACGGTTTAAAAATTAGTCAGAACTGTGCAAGTTGCATCACAATTAGTGCAGACAGCCAAACTGCTAGTCGCTGGAATCTTGTCATGTAAATTTTATATCATTTATGACCTTCTGGATTTTCCTTTTTTTATTTAATTCTACTTTACATTTTCTCCGGACATATTTAAAGGTGTACTCACTTTTGCAGCATGATAATAGATAATCATTTTGTTAGATTGGTTCCAGTATTTGTTTTCACATTGACTTTTAAATTTTTTTTTTTTTATAAATATCTCATTGTATTGACCTTATTCTTCACGTACGAGTGGGTGCAGCCATTGGAATCTGTTTGGCTCAAGACTTCGTCTCATTCACTTCCATTGATTTTTAGATGTTAAAAACAGCTTGTTCTGCTGCTTCATTTTGCAAACTGACTTTTTCTTCTTTTATGTATAGTCATGAACACTTTTTTGTAGAACAAGTAGTTTAATTAGTTTATTATTCCTTGTCATTTCTCGCATAGGCAACTGAATCTGAAGTTAAAACAAGCGCACTTCCACATCCCAGAATAAGGTCAATAAGATCTGTTAAAACAAGAGATGGATGTTTTTTCAGAAAATAAAATTATTAGTGAGTACAAATTCATGCTGAGGACTATAATATTGCGATATCTATAGAAATCTTTAAATACATCAAATAAAAAATGCTCCATCAATTAATAAAACTATTTTATAGAAAATTTGACAAATACAATTAGCAGAAGTTTAAAATTATTAACCTCAGCAGTTTCTATATTAGAACATTTTAATGTGAAAGACTAATAAAAAGCTAGAACACCTTCAAAATTTAAGATAAAAAAATGCAAAAAAACACATTTAAAAACAAAGATAGACGACAAAATTACCTTTAAAATTTTAGACATGTCTATCTTTGCTAGAAAACTTGGGTACATTTTATATAGATAGTTAAAACCATATGATATATCATATCAAAT